GAGCAGGGAGCCCGATGCGGGACTCGATCCCGGGACTCCAGGATCATGACCTGAGCCGAAGGCAGTCGCTTAACCAACTGAGCCACCCAGGCGCCCTGCCCTGGGAATTCTGATGTGACTTTGAAAAACCCCTCAACGGAGGTCAGGATCAGAGTAGGCATGCTGTGGTTACCAGCCATTCCCTTCCTCTTCCTCAAGGAGCTTGAGGAGGTGCCTGGGGAACTCAGGAGAGCAGCAGTTTCCTGACACTGGGAATCCTCCCACTTGGGGTCAGAAGTCGTAAATGAAGTGGTGCCAGGAAATCATTTACGCCTTGCTTAGGTTATAGTGGTCAAGGGCAGATACTGCCGAGGTCAGTGAGGAACTGCCCACAAGCACTTTTCTGAGAAGCACACTGCTGCTCTGTTCACTTTGAAATAACTTAGGGTGTGTGTTCTGAATTCTACGTTGCAGGTGGTGGTATAAACATCAGGTGATGACCAGCTCCCCCTGCCCTCAGCGCAAGGTCAGGATGCTTAGAGATGAGATGGTCATTTGGCTCCTCACATCTGAGCAAAACCAGCAAAATGCTCTTAGCTAGGAGACAGATTTTGTGTGTTAACATAAGCTTTTAGGGACTTTTATAGGAGTCTTTTCTCATCCCTTTATGTCGTTATAGACTGAATCTCTGTATCATTGGTGGACGCACTGTTTTTTGGTATTGACCCTATTGATAAGAACAGCTTAACTGGGCTCACTTTGAGTATTTTTCTTTTTTTTTTTTAAGGTACTTTTCCTTTTGTCCAAAATTTTGATCAACTTTTAATAAAATATTAGTACAGTACAGTTATTAAAAATGCAAACTTGAAACGCATCACAAGTTTATTGCTTTATTTTCTTCTTAGTATAAAGGCAAAATAAGAGTTTATAATTCTGGAAGCCCTTTTTGGGGAAGCTCAAGAGGAATTTTTGAAATTTAAGGTTTTAGTATAAAGAACAACTTAACTCTATTTAAAAATCTCCCTCTGCAGAAATGGCAGATGGTGGGGGATCTTCCTCATCTTGTTACGAGCCCTGTTTGGATACCCCAGCTGTTTTAAAGTGAGTAAAAGTTCCACTGTTTAGGCTGGACTTGATTCGATTGTTTCTCCTGGAATGTGGTGTGTTGACTTAATGCTTTGGCAGTGCCAGCCTCCAGACCCCCACCTCATGCTGGGTTAGTTTTGAGCTGCACTGAAAACGTAAGAGATCTACGAGACAATTTTATAGATGTCTGGAATTTGGTAGAGTGATAATAACAAAGTTTCCTGTTCAGCAGCTGATTTTATGCACAGCTTCAAAGAGAGACTGTTTTGTGTACCTCTGAGCTGTCTTGCCATTTTGTAGGAACAGTTTGTCACAGCTCATCCCATGATGGGAAGGAATAAATGGGACATTTAATTTTTGTGTGTTAAAAAAAACCATACAGATAGAGTTTAAAATATGCAAAACCTCAATGATATCATTGACTCGTGATCATACATTCTAATAAAGTTGTATATAAGACAACTATATGTATGGAACTTTTGGAAATGATTTTAAGGGATCATTCTTAAGCGTTGCATAAAGTAAATCGAACCTTATTGGAAGTTGATGTATAGTCAAATGAGGTATTTCATAAGGGCCAAGAAAATGCGTATGTTTGCTATGGATTTGTGTTTCTGGGTATGACAACCTTGGAGCTAGCAGCAAGCTATGAGGGACAGGATGGAGTGCTGGCTAAGAGTAGGGACCAAGCTAGCTCCTGCTACTTACTCCCATATGATCTTAAGTAACTTGTCTCTGTGCCTCATTTTACTCATCTGTAAGAAAAGGACAATAGTGCCTAACCCATACGGTAGTCATGAGGAGAGAATTAATAGAACAGACTTCTGGAACACTTCTGTCACATAGCAAGTAACATATTCCGTAATCATTAGCCACTGTTATCAGCATCATCATTCACATCACAAAATTTGCAGGAGTTATTGTGATAGAGCTAATCGGGCAAATAGTTTGGGAAAATAAAGTTACCATGCAGTTTTTTGATGGCTTTGACATGAATCACCTAAAAAATGGCTCTTCGGAAATAAAATACATAGTGGCAATTGACAGTCCAGAACATGTTTTTCCAGCATTTTATGTGGGTTCTTGGCTGGAGGAGGAGCTCTATTTAGAAGGTTGGAATGGTGGTTGGTATACTGTGCTGGCCTTCAGTCTTAGTGATTCGCATGAGTTACTTTCACTTGGAGACAGGTCATGTAGAAGGACTGCTGAACAGCTTAATCAGTGACCTGCTGAAGAAAAAGGAGTGTGCTTATAAAATGTGTAGGCAACAGGGCTGGAAAGGATGTTTACTATTATAAATGATCAGCAACTTGATAATAGAAACAAAATTTGTACATAGAGTTCTTGATTTTTAAAAAATACTAGTAACAACCAATTAAAATTACTGCAAACATAGTAGGTAAAATATTATTTTAGATATAGAAGACATATGCAAATAAGTTTAAAGTACCATTTCAAAAGATGACTCCCATGGGTAGAGAGGCAAAGAACTTAAAAAAGAGGAAATTCTAATGGTTAAGTAAACTTCAGAGCCATACACATTAAAATAGTGTACTATTGTTTCTTAGATATTTCAAAGATAAAAAAGGTACTTATTGTGGTGTGGAGAAAGTTAATCCTGTTATCTTTTTGGAAAGCAGTTTGGCATTGTATGAAAAGCCTTAAGGACTCAGTCACCCTCCCTCTTCAGTAGGCAAACTTGTATGCTCTACAAGACTTCTGCTATAATTTCTAGCAAACTGGAAGCACCGACAATCAGTGTCTGATGGTAGGAGAGCATGGTGATGACTGTAATCTCTAGTTTTTGAGCATTTAGACCAGTTACCTTGCCAGGTAGGACACAAACCCCTGACCGTGGTCCCCATGACGACTCCTGAGGTAGGGATGCCAAGTAATTTGTCCAGACTCAGAGATGGACAGTTGGGATTTGAACTGGGAATGTCCTCGGCACTGGATGGAATATTATTTGGCCATTAAAAATGATTTTCTAAGCTTTTTAAATACCATGGGCATTTGTTAATGATGTCGCTGGAGAAAGAATGTATGTGATTTCCTCACGAGTGAACATGTGGGTCTGGGGAAAGGGAAACACTTTTCACTGTAAGACACTCATTCTATTAATTTTATTTGACTGTCATATATTTTTAAATTATATAACTTGTTTAAAAAATACTGGGCTGGAGCATCTGGTTGGCTCAGTCAGAAGAGCATGCAACTCTCGATCTTGGGGTCTTGAGTTCAAGCTCCATGTTGGGAGTAGAGTTTACTTAACAACAAAAAATTCTGGGCTGGACACATGGCAGTGGTTTTTCCATTCCATTTCTATATTTTCAAAGTGAACATTTTTTAAATGGAGAAAATATAGTGGATACCTAGCTTCATTTCAGTTTTATAAAAAATACACAGGGTTATAGTTAAGCACAGATTCCTTAATGCAAGTGAAATGTTCAGGCAAAATAGTTCAGACCGTGTGGAAGGCATCACGGCAGAAGCCATGTAGCCCGTGTTAGGAGAAGCTTTGACATATGGAGGCTTTTCCAGAGGAAAAAGACTGGCAGGGAGGCACAGAGTTGGAGGAAGTCCACTCGGTGCTGCCTGGCTGGATGTGCGATCCCTTTCTCTGCAAGTCCGTGAGAACCTCTGTCCAGAAGAAGTGGCACCATCTCTGAAGGCCGGTCTCTTTGAATTCTGAACTCAGGATTACATAATTAAGCTCATGCTGTCCAAAAACACATTTTTAGTGACAATAATGTGTTTCTTGCATTTCAAAATACAAGTTTATTGTTAAAGTTCATTCAGTAAACATTTACTAGTACTGTGTGAGTCAGGTACTGTTTGGCTCTGAGGACACATCGGTAAAGACACAGACATGGTTCTGAGCCTCACATTTATCTGCAGGACCATAATGTAATTCATATAGGGGGGAAGAAAATTAAGTACTGGGGTGTCACTTGGTGGTTTACTTCTTTTTTTTTTTTTTTTTTTTTTAGAGAGAACAAGAGAGTGAGCAGTAGGAGGGGCAGAGGGAGGGGGAGAGACATTCTCAAGCAGATTCCCCACTGAGCATGGAGCCCGACATGGGGCTTGATCTCAGGACCCTGAGATCACAACCTGAGCTGAAACCAAGAGTTGGATGCTCAACCTGACTGGGCCACCAAGGTGCCCCTGTTTATTTTACTCCTGACTGAGCTAGAGTTTTCTTACTCACTGTTGGAAGCAAAAGGAAATAGGGCCTGCTCTTAAAGTCTCACTATAAAAACCAGCATTTATAGTGTGAAAATTATGTGATATCATTGAGTTGGGGTAGTTGAATGTCCTCATGAATAAAATAGATGAGATACATTTTGATCACTTTTAAGAGGATGTGGTTTCGTGTGCCAACTTCTGCTTTAACTTGGGAAATTTGGAGGTTCTAGGAACCAGAACCAGTTGGCTAAATAATTCACATTGAGTCAGAAAGGCATCTTGGGCTTCCGTTGGATTGGCAGCTTACGCTTTAGGAGGCAAATGTACGTCTATATGTCTGATTATACTATAATGTTAATATCTTCATTTTAAATTATGGTATCTTTGTTTTATATGTAAAAAGTAACAATGTATCTCTGCTTAGTGAAATTCAGGTGTAGGCAGAAGGTTAAGAACTCGCAGGGTCACTTTGGCCGGGACAGCTGTGCAGAGGAGCGTGCTGCTATCCTGAGGGATGTGGAAGGAACATTTTGCACAGAGGCTCTTTGGACCAGTGGTGCACAGTGCACATCACCACCCAGCCACCTTCTCTTCTTGCACAAAAGAGGGAGTTGGGGGTGGCCGGGGGAGACCCTACCTCTCTACACCTGAGACCCTCAGTGACTTCCCTCTTTTCATAGCCAGGCTCCTTGCAGGGCCTGTCCATACTTAATGCCTTGTGTGGGTCTTGCACGGTCACTGATGACCTTCCAGTAGCCAGAATCACAGATGCCCACAGCCTTCGTCTGACATGAGCTCTCCGGTACTTGACCCGGCGCCAGAATCACAGATGCCCACAGCCTTCGTCTGACATGAGCTCTCCGGTACTTGACCCAGCTCCCGCCGTGGATGGGTCCCTTGACTTGGTTTGTGAGTGTGCCTCCCTGGCCACCCCTGTCCTTCCCTTGGCTCTCCAGTGGGCTGGCTGGACCAGCCACTGCTGGATGCAGACGGCAGTGGTGTCCTTGGCAGAGCCATCCCAGAATTACTTGTAAGACATTCTCTCTAGATGCTCCTTAGTTTTCTTAAGTCCCCAACCCACTCCTTACTTGGAAACAAACAAGTAATAACCTGAACTTCTTGGGCCTAGAAGGGCCCTTGTCTGCATTTCCAGGCTTACGTTCCACCTCTGACCCCATGTCCCAGCTGCTGCCTCTGCCCTTTCTTTGTTCTCTCCTGGCATCTTTATCTTGCACAGGCAGCCCTCCTAGCCTGGCACATTCCCCACTCCCCCAGGACCTCCTGCCCTCTTCGGGCAGGCTAATTCCTTCAAGACTTGGGTAAGGAATCCCATCCAGATGTTGGGCTTTGGAGCCAGATTTGGTGAGTCTCAGCTTTGCTGCTTGCTTCCCCGTGCAGCTTAGAGTCGCTTTGTCTTTCTGAGCCTTAATTTCATTGTACACAAAACATTAATAATGTCTCTATTTGGGGGTGTTAAAAGAATTAGAAATAAGGCGTGTCTTGCACAGAGTGGGCTCTCAGTCTGTGGTGAAGAAAGAGCACGTTCCAGGTTTGGGGGTAAGTGAACTTGACGTGATACTTTGCTTCCCGCTAGAATTCAGAGTGGGGGTTAGATAGGCCAGATAGAACAAGAAGGCAAAGGAGATGTAGACTTGTATCTTTAAACAAGTTACTTTTATTCAATTGCCTCCTGATTATGAAATGTCTATTGAGTTGAGTCCTTATGTTATTTAAAATTTTTTTCATACAGTAAAAAGGACAAAAGTTGTGATTTTACTTTTTTTCTAAAGTACATAATTTATAGTCCTGCTCAGTGATTTTTAGTCTAATTGAATATTTACATGGTGATTGCATAAGTTAATATTTAATATAATAATTGTTATTGGTGTTTATTTTGTGCATTAGCCAACAGAGCAAGGCATTGAAGGGATAAAAATGAGTCAGGGTTCCTACCTGACTATTTTGTGTATATTTATACACACTGACCATTTCATGGTCTTAACTTCTGTGCTGCAGTTTCTGTTTTATTTTTAAATAAAATCAGAATACAATTGATGAGTTAACCCATGAAAATAAAACTGGGTTCTGCTGCCCTGACTAGCACATTCTCACTGTTGGCACAGGAAACCAGGATTTCAGAGATGGGGATCAACAATATAAAGGCGCTGCATTAAGGCTTTTTGGAAATGGTGTGTAGACAGCAGGCATATGGTGGTGTCAGAGCCCTCACGCAGAGAGCTGCTGCTTGAGGGTTTTTTAGGCTTTCTCCTGACCAGTGCTGTGGGGCAAAAGGAGTCCTCGTTAGATGTAAACTTTTTTTGGTGATGGTGGCTTAAGTTTCTCTGTTAAGTATTTTTTAATAGTCCCCAAAGCAGAGAGGAGCATACCCCTCTGACCCTATTGCTCAGGTTCAGCAGTTCCCAATACTTTGTCAGTCTTGTGTCACCTGACCCCTGACATTTTTTATGCTGCAGTATGTGAAGCAAATCCCAGAAACTACATTATTTCATCTGCAAATTATATTCAGAATTTTAGAATTAGTTTTGTATGCATTTCCTGGGGCTGCAGTAACAAAGCCTCGCAAACTGGGCAGAGGAAACAACAGAAGTCTGTCCTCTCACATTCTGGGGGCCGAGAGTCCCAAACCGAGGTGTCCGCAGGGCCATGCAGCCTCTGAAACCTTCTAGGGAGAATGCCTCCGCACATCCTCCATGCTCTGGAGTCGTCCGCCATCTTTGGTGCTCTTGGCTTGTAGATGTCTCGCTCTCTAAAAGTCATCCATGGCCACTTCTCTAAAGGACACCATCCGGAATGGCCGGTCTCATCGTAGCTGATGACATCTGCAAGGACCCTCTTCCAAATAAGGCCACATTAAGGCCACATTCTGAGGACTGGAGGTTAGGACTCCAGCGCATCTCTTTGTGTGGGGGACACAACTCAGCCCGTAACGTACAGATTGGTATAAGCTGCCCAGAAGGCACTGAGACAGCATTTATAAGGGCTTTTAAAATGTCACGTCCTTTGTTATATTCTATTTTAGGAATTTATCTTTGGAAATAATGAAATATGTACACAAATTAAGGGTAAGAATGTTCATAGGTGAATAATTGGTATTAATGAAAAATCTGAATTATTTTCATGAAAAATCAGAAAATAATGGAAGAATGGTAAAATAATGACATAACCATTTGATAAAGTATTATGTAGCCATAAATATTGTGTTTGGGGAAAATATATAATTTGTATAAGAGAATGTCCATAATTAAAGCAGGATATAAAATACTGTGGTATGATCACATTTTATTTAAATAGTATAGACAGATTTATATGTCTGTGTATGTGTGTGTGTGTATAACAGAAAAAATGGGAAAGAATTTACTAAAAATATTTGTAGCACTTAACTCTGGGTGTTGGGATTGGAGGTGATTCTGTTTTATTAATAGTTTTCTGAGTTTTCTAAATCCTGTCTGATGAACTTGGAATTAGTGAAAAAAAATGAAAGAATATTTGTTATATGCAATGTTTTTTGGAGTACTAGTCTACTCATATTTGTAGGTGTTCAAACCTAAGTGGGAGAAACATATGGCTGAATTCTAAAGGCATGTCTTAAAGCAGTTGATTGTGTGCAATAAAGTATTTGGAAAAGTACAAATTTAGAAAAGTTCATATAGATTATTACTAGATCAGCATGAATAATGTATCTGTGGACATTTTCTGCAGGAGTCCCATAACTTGGTATTCTAAAAATGTTAAAGCAAGGTTAACAGCCAGTTGTCAGGACCCTGAACGTGTTGCATTATCTTCCCGTGTGTTAGCGCTCCTGGGAAAAAAGTGTTGGGGAGTTGGTTTGAAAATTGTCCTCTATACACAAATTCTTGTGTTTGTTTTTTAATGTGCTTTTACAGAATAAGAAATTGATGTGTTATTTTATAGGGTTTTTTTCAATCTCTTACTTTTAGGTTAAAAATTTTGCAGTTATTTATCTTGTGGATATTACAGAAGTGCCTGACTTCAACAAAATGTATGAGTTATACGATCCGTGTACTGTCATGTTTTTCTTCAGGTATGTTCTCTTAAAGTTAACACTTCACTTGAACGTTGTTGGTCTGGAAGTTTGCTGTAATCAAGATATCTTTACATTTGATGGTATTTATGTAATAAAGTTGAGTAACATCACGAGTCAAAAAAAGTTGTGGAGATTTAATTCGGAAAGAAATCACCATTTGGCATTGTTTTTACTTGTCAAATTTTCTGTTTATTGTTACTACAAAAGTTGACAAATAGCAGTATTAAGCATTAGACATACCCCGTTCCTAACTGGTAGGGAATGTCTGGGTGGATTGTATAGGGTGTGTATTGGCTTTATGTTCTGTGTAACAAATGAGCTCAATGTTCTGTTGCTCAAGTTCGGGCAGGCTCAGTGGGTTTCCTCTCAGGGTCTCACGAGGCCCCAGTCACGGGCTGGGCCCTTATCGGCGCCGTCAGTCGGGGAAGAAGCCACTGGCTCATTGGGTTGTTGGCTGAATGCAGTTCCCTGTGGTCATGGGCCTGAGGTCGCTGACTCCTTGCTGGCTGTATGCTGGGCCCTCCCTGCTCCTGGAGGCCCTTCCATCTCCACAGCCTGCACCATCTCTGCAATTTCCTGTTCTGCTTCTACGAGCCTGTGAATGGAATAGACTCACCCAAATAATCCAGGATTATCTCCTTACTTTAAAGTCAGTTGACTAGTAACCTTCAAGACATCTGCCAGACTCCATTTGTCTGTAACATCACTGATGGTTGGCGTCTCATCACATCACAGTCCCAGGAATGAGGGCAGGAACTTCATGGGATTGAATTTAGGATTTTGTCTACCATGGTCTGCCCTCTGGCTCCAAAGATTCACATCCTTCCCATATGCAAAATCAGGTATGGATGAGGCTTCTTAGGCTCCTGGACACCCCTTATCTGTGGCCCCAGCTCTCCCAGTACACAGTGTGGGACAGCATAGGAAATAGGTCTGGTTTCTCAAGGGGACGTGAGAAAGAAGGGGCTGACACCCCAGCCCTGGGAGGGTTCTGCCTGGGCTTTCCTGCCTTTTCCAGGAAAGGTGTGTGCAGCTGGGCCATTTTTCAGCCTACTGCAGCCAGTAGCATTTTGGGGTTCTGTCATCTCCCTTTCACTGCACCGTCGGTCCCCTGCAGCCCAAGTCCCTGTCCTGGGCGTCTGCAAAGATCCGGGAGGCACACCGTTCCTCACTTCGGAGCTTTCCTGGGCTTCTGCTCAAGGTCGTGTGGCCTCTTCCATGTCTCTGCCATTTCTGCATTGCAGCCTATTCTGCCATCTGGAGGGGCTGGGACTTCATTCTTTCTGTTAGCGGTTCTTACACCACGTTGTCTGTCCACAGCAGGGAGAAAGCAGGCAGCCCCTTCAAGACTTGGCTGTTTCCTCAGGTGCACATCCAGGTGCATCCTTACGACTTCTGCTTTCCCCAGAAGCAGGACAGTGGCCCTGATGTCCTGCCCCCAAGTAACAAGGGCCCCTTTCCTCCATCCCCAGCAGTGCATTCCTTCCTTCCTTTGGAGCCCACACCAGCCGTGCTCCCCAAGTCCGTGTTTCTACGAACAGGCTCTCCAAAGCAGTCTAGGTCTTTTCTGTCATGCTGCTCAAAATTCTCCCCAAACCCTTCAGGTGCGACTGGTGAGGGCCGTCTTGGGTCCAGCCTCCCGCTGCCTGTGGCCAGCCTGACCTAGGCACAGTGGACGCTGGGGTGGAGGAGGCTGCAGAAAGAAGGCGCTGGATGCTGGTGTGTTAGGTCTGGCGCTGCTCTCAGAAGAGAAGACGAACCTCCTTCCACTCTTTCTAAGACAAGGCGCATCAGTACTTAAGTTAATTTTCTCACCAAATGCGTATATTGAGTCCTGCCAGGTTTTGTGGTCTAGCGACAGGACATTAAGTCAGATAAGACAGGGTTCCTGCCATCACCGAACTGCACGGATTGGCAACAGCTGAGTAAATGAGCAAAGGGAAACAGGTGCCAGAGGACAGGTATTTATAGAGACAGAAGTACTGAGTCAGCGTGGCAGGAGCTGAAGGACATTTGGAGGAAGTTTAGAATGAGCTCGTGCATTCCAGGGGGCGGGCACACAGGCATGAAAAGTCAGGCCATATCAGGGGAACCTGTAAGAACGTGGTGGCTGACAGGTGATGGAGGGAGGAACAGGGTCCAGACCCCCAGATTCCTGGGCCCGAGTGAGGATGTGGAATGTTATCCTGAAAGTAAATGTTTGCAGCAGAGAAGAAACATCAAATTTGCCTTTTGGATGCTCAGTCTGGTTGGAAGGCGGCCAGACTGGAGACTTCAGGGTGGAGTACTTCGTTCTTGTAGAAGTGAAAAGTTAAATAAATGAAAACTAATCTTCAACAAACTTGGAAAAATTAGTGCACCAAGGACAACAAGGGTTAATATCTTTGTAAAGTACACATATAAATTCATTTTTAAAAGTAGCCTCTTAAAAAATAAATTTGTAAAGTATCATCTACTTCCCTAATTGTAGAATTGCAAAATATACTGACTTCACAATTAGGACTTTATTATTAATAAAGTGGTACACTAGGCGCTCACAAGAGCACCATGAAAAACTCATATTGTATTTCCTAGGTAAATTAGTAACAACCCTCTGGAAAACAGTTTCACTTTCCAAGTGACTGAAACTGTCCTGTAGGGTGTTTGTCCTAAGGGAGTAGCTAAACAGAAGGCTTGCACCGTGCATGGCGAGCGTTTTTAAAATAGGATTTAGGTTGTTTCCATCTTCTAAATCGTGGTGGATCCTCTTGACTGTGTGTGTTCTTAATTAATGTTAAACAAGAGCTTGTGATGGTGGGAAACATTTTTTTTCACAGAACTCTTTTTTAGAAGGATTTTTGTGAGCATTGACCCCCTGTCTCCTCTTTGCAGGAACAAGCACATCATGATTGACCTGGGTACTGGTAACAACAACAAGATCAACTGGGCCATGGAAGACAAACAGGAAATGATAGACATCATCGAGACTGTGTACCGGGGCGCCCGGAAAGGTCGCGGCCTGGTCGTGTCTCCAAAGGACTACTCCACGAAGTACAGATACTGAGCTCAGCCCAGCCTCCATGCACAGAAATGGTGTGCAGTCGTTTTCATGTGGAAATATTGGAAACTATTTAAAGACTTAGAGAAAGCGTTTGGAAGAGAATACGAAGATGAAGGGGTTGGAGGGTCTTTGCAATAAGGGTTGCATGGCCTCAACTCTCCACCTGCCTGGCCGTTGTATTTTTATATTAGCAAATATCTGTAAATATCTAGCCGAAATAAATAAAATATACAGTGATGGAAAGTCATAATTGCTTGTTTTTTAAGAAACTTGCCATACAGATTACTGATTTTGGCGGTCCGAAATTACTTGTCATCTTTCCCATTGGAGTGGAATTCAGGTGTATGTCCTATGGGGCCACTGTGTTTGGTTTGCCTGGCGCTGGGGATCCATGTGAGCTTCCCAGGGCTGCCGTAACAAAGAGGCCCAGACTGGGTGACAACAGACATGAGCTGTGTTGCAAATCTGAAGGCAAGAACTCCAGATCCAGGGGTGGTCAGGGTGGTTCCTTTGGGGCTGTGATGGAGAATCTCTGTTCCCTACCCCTCTCCCAGATTCTGCTAGTTTCTGGCAATCTTTGGCATCCTTTGGCTTGGTGCTTCACCCCAATCCTGGCCTTCGTCTTCACATGGCCTTCTCCCTGTGTGTCTGTGTCCAAATTTCCTCTTCTTATAAGGACACTGGTCATTGGAGAGGGTCACCCTGCAGCAGCATGACCTCACCTTAACTAACTACATCTGTGATGACCCTTTCTCCAAATAAGGCACATTGTACTGGGAATTACAACTCCTGACATAGCGGGGCGCCTGGGTGGCTCAGTCGGTGAAGTGTCTGCCTTCAGCTCAGGTCACGATCCCAAGGTCCTGGGATCGAGCCCTACGTTGGGCTCCCTGCTCAGCGGGGAGTCTGTTTCTCCCTCTGCTGCTCCCCCTGCTTGTGCTCACTCTCTGTCAAATAAATAAAATCTTAAAAAAAAAAAAAAAAAAACCTCCTGACATAGGACTATACGGGGTTGAGGGGGCACAGTTCAACCCACAAAAGAATCCAAAGGCTTGAGTTCAGAAAGAATATACACTTGGGGAAAAAAGTGTCTTTTATTCTGGTTATAAAAACAGTGCAATAAAACAATGATTCTTGGAGTTTTCTTTTTAAATATAAAGAGTAAGGGTTGTTTCTTATTCCTCCTAAGATCGTATTTAATCTACTGAAGCGGACTGTATTTTCTGTAGAAACCATGACCCTTCGGTACATGCAGTTAGTTTCCTTGTCACAGTCTTGAGTTTCTCTTGCCCCAGCAGCATGTTGGTGGGTGGGTGGTCGGGAACTTCCCAGGCACATCTTGTGCACACAGGCTCTGTTGTGAAAACTCCGTCTTCTCTCAAGTGAGGAGGGGTGGTGTCTGCTATCCCATGTGTGTCTTAGAGCAGTGCCTGGTGGCCCTTGGTGGTGTGAAAGCACTCTGCCATGGCCAGACTGGCCGACTGGCTGAAACACAAGTACAGACCAGCAAGAAGAAACGAGGTGTGCTTTAAGTGGATTTAAAATTCAAATGTAAATCCTCAGCTTTGTTGCTCCAGCCTTAATTTTCCCATTTACAAAATTTCCCATATCAAATGAGGGGCTAGTGGAAAAATCTCGGTGACCCCAAGTACCTGGCATGTAATAGACATTCAGTATTCTACTTCTGGCTTTTCTCCAAGATAGAACAAACAGCCAAGGATCACATGAAAAACTCACTAGTATTACTCATCAAGCAAATGCAAATCAAAACCTGGAGATGCCAGTTCACACCCGCTGGGGTGGGTGTGCATAGATCCAGAGGGTCCGATTATTACAAGTGTCAAGGGCATGGAGTATTGTTAGCCTCATACACTGCTGGTGGAAAGGTAGAACGGGGAACCCTCTGGAAAACAGTTTGGCGGTTCCTCAAAAAATAAAATAGGGAACTACCATTTGACCCAGCAACGTCAGTCCTAAGTACATACCCAGGAGAACTAAACACGTCTGTCCACACGAACTTGGACAGAACATTAGTGGCAGCATTATTCATAATAGCTGAAATGAGGCGACAGCTCGCATGTCCATCAACTGCAGAATGGATAAACAAAATGTGGTCCATCCATACAATGGAATATTATTTGGCCATAAGAAATGAAGTATGGATGTAGGCTACAGCATGGTGAACCTTGAAAACATGAGCATAAGTGAAAGAGCCTAGGCAGTACATACTGTATGATTCCATTTTTATGAAATATCCGGAATAAGCAAATTCATAGAGACAGAAAGTAGATTAGTAGTTGCTTAAAACTAGGGGGAGGGGGAAAGAGGGAGGCAATTGCTATGGGTATGGGGTTTCTTCTGGAGATAATTAAAATGTCCTAAGACTGATTATGGTTATGGTTGTACACATCTGTGGATATACCAAAAACCATTGAACTGTATGTGTTAATTGGGTGAATTGTATAGCATGTGAATTTTATCTTATTGATAAAGCTTTATTAGCTGTTAAAAAAACAAGCAAAAAATTACACTCCACATTTGTAAACTTACCCTGTAGTTACCATAAATTTGTTGTATTTATAAATTTATATCTTATTATTATGTACCTACTGTCTACCTCACCCTGAACTTAGTGATTTACAAGCCATTTTCTCAAATCCTTCCAACCACCTGCCAGGTAGTTTGCAGAGAAGGGAACTAAAGCTTAGTTTGCCCAGAGTTACAACTCATTCAGAGGACATGAATTCAAACCTAGATCTGCATGGCAACCAAACCTTGCCTCATTGCTGCACCATGTTGCTTTATTCAAGCTGAAATTAACTAGTGCAGAAAGTATACCAATACCCCTGGTTCTCTGAGCACTGAATGATTTGTTTCCCATCCTCCCCAGGATGGTTTTTGTGCAAAGTCCAGGAATTAGTCTTGGCAGCTGACACAGAGGCAATAAGCCTAGGAGGTACAGAATATATTCAGGGATGCATTAAGTAATCAAGTACCCTAAGGAAACTGACACAGAGGAGACAGGCAAGAGTGTTTATTGCAGGATTACTTGGAAACAATTATTAGTCAAGGGGAAAACAAAATTCAAAGGGTTATTACACAGTTGCTAGTGACTGAAGTGGAGCTACGCACATCGACATAGATGAATTTCAAACTACTAAATGGAGAAGCTAGGTACAGAAAGATACCATGGCAGGATGTCATTTACTTACAGTTTTCAGACGTTCAAAACAAAGATCTGAAACATTAAAACGACCAGCAACCTTGTGTGTTTGCAGTGGATTGTTATGTGTGGGTCCCTACGGTAGACTGCCTCCTTCCTACTGTTCTGAGCCCATGCAGAGAAGAAACGAGGCGTTCCGGGCACTGACAGAATCAAAGCTACAACTACCCTAAAAACCACTCACTGATGTTAACAAAACTACACCCAAAGTTTGGTTCTTCAGGTACTCAGTTAAAATATATGATATGTTCATGTCCTCACCAGGTTTCTTGTCTGAAAGTTGAGGTGCTAGTTGGGAAAGTTTGATGTCTTGAAAATCATAATGGGGAACTTTGGGAGGACTCACTTTATATGGGTGCCATTTTGAATCGTTTTCTCTACATTATTTTTATTAATGGCTTTTAAAATACATCTGGTTTTAGTACTCTTTTGTGGCATTTTTACATTCATCGTCAAAAGCTACACAAAGAACACCCACAGTGTCTTAGTGAGATTTGTATTGCCTTGCACGTGGTATTGGGGCAACAGCCCACTAGTCTTCCCCAGCCACTGCGATAGCTCACGTCCTCCATCTGGCCTTTGATTCTCTTGTTCGGTGAAGTGGTTAAACTCTCACACATCTCCATGGACAAAAAGCGCCATATAAAAGATTGCAAAGTATTTTGAAACTCTTGAAATTCATTAATTAATTTACTTAAAAAAAAAGTTTGAGTAGCTCCTGGGCCCCAGAGCTGAGCAAAATCAATCTGGTTTCTGGCTGCCCTGTGAAGATAACCAAATGATCACATAAAAAGTGAACTTACAATGGTGGTAGTCAATAGGTAGAGTACTAGAAGATCATATAAAAAGTAGATCTGACCCAGATGGGGATTCAGGGAAACACCTCTGAGGAATTTATTTTCAAGTTGAGATGAGGTATTAAAAAGCTAACTAAGTGGGTGTAGGGGTAATTGCATTCCAGAAGGGGACCTGCAGGATCAAAGGCCCGTGGTGGGAGGGAGGTGGGCTTGTCTGAGAACGGGGGCGTGGTTGGGTAGAGTGGGCACAGGTTGCAGTGGGCACAGATGGGAGGCTTTGCCTTGGGAACCGGGTGTAACATGACCAAATTTTAGTTCTGAGAAGATCTTTCTGTCCCCTTGGAGGAGCTAAAAGGGGGTTTGGGAAGAGAGTTAAAAGCCTATGGTGATAGATCAGGCAAGAGACCACGGTTGTAAAGAAAGGAGATTAAATGTGAGAATTTAAAACTTCAGACAATTGCATCCAGAACTGCTGACTTACAAATTAAGCCCTTTATTATTAAACTTCATGTCTTTGTAAGTTCCCAAATTTTGAGTTAAATGAGTTTTAAGTTACAAGTATATGAATGTAGCATTTGATATTGAATTCACAACATTTTACTTAAGTATTCTATGAGTAAACTGCTTGCTACTAAAGTTTCATAAAAATTTAGTTTATATTAGAATAAGTATGTTTAAGCACATGTAAATCCATCTACTACTTTCCCCTTTTTCCTTATGGAAGCATTTTGATCTTTTAAATATATGTGACAGGGTACTGGAAAATAGCAATCCTTTATAAAAATGGTAGGAAGATGTTAAAACAGGTATGATATTATAAAACGCCAAATAACCTCTACAGGTAGGTGTCTGTGGTTTGAGTGAATAAGTGAGATGTTAAATGTCAGACTATGAAAGGGGACCAGCTTGGAACTTTCTTTAGAAAGAAGTTAGTACTTTTTTTGGCAGCATAAATGTTTTTATTTCATCTTTTAAGTAGGTTCCACACCCAATGTGGGGCTTGAACTCATGACTCTGAGATCAAGAATCGCATGCTCTACCAACTGAGCCAGCCAGGCACCCCTAATATTTTTATCTTAGTTAATAACGAATAGAAGCTTTCTCCACCCCCCCCCCGCCCCGCTTTTTAAAAAAGATTTTATTTGTTTATTTTGAGAGATAGTGCAAGCAGGGGGAGGGGCAGGGGGAGAGGGAGAGAGAAATTTCAAGCAGACTTCCCTCTGAGTGCAGAGTCCGTCGCGGAGCTCTATCCCACCACCCTGAGATCACGACCTGAGCCCACTGAGCCACCCAGGTACCTAGAAGCTTTCTTTTCTACTTACTTAATTTCTTAAAAATCCTGGATTTTGAATTGAGATCTATGTTATTAATGAGGACTCAAATCTGTTTGGTTTACTTCAATTCAAATATCCACTTTAGTTTCTGCTGAAATTATAATAGCAGCTAAGATGCTTTGAGATTTTTTTGGAGGGGCGCCTGGGTGACTCAGTCGGTTGAGCATCTGCCTTCGGCTCATGTCATGGTCCCAGGGTCCTGGGATTGAGCCCCACATTGAGCTCCCCACTCTGCAGGAAGCCTGCTTCTCCCTCTCCCACTCCCCCTGCTTATGTTCCCTCTCTCACTCTCTCTGTCAAATACATAAATAAAATCTTTAAAAAAAAAAAGAAAAGAAAAGATGCTTTGAGATTTTTCACATAATCCAATGGAACTACCATGGTTTTAAATCACCAAGAATACTGAATTTAAATGATGCCATTTTAAAACTTTGGATTAAAAAAAGAAAGACATGGGGTACCTGGGTGGCTTAGTCGGTTAAGCGTCTGCCTTCGACTCAGGTCATGATCCCAGGGTCCTGGGATTGAGCCCTGCATCGGGCTCCCTACTCAGCGGGGAGCCTGCTTCTCCCTCTCCCTCTGCCTGCCGATCCCCCTGCTTGTGCTCTCTCTCTCTCTCTCAGATAAATAAATAAAATCTTTAAAAAATAAAAAAAGAAAGACATGCACCACTGTTGGGAGTACAAAATGACACTTCCTTTCTTAGATGCATTTGACTAAATGTACTTGGCCTTCAGTCACACTTCTGACCCTAATGAAATGTGCACAGAATTCATGGTAACAATGCTCCTTACAGCATTATTTATAATAGCAAGAAAGTGGGAAGTAGCCTCAATGTCCAAGGGATAGTTATGGGAAAGTTTAAATTATTACAGCCATATGATAGAATAGTAGTCAGCCATTAAAAAAAAAAAAAGTATGAAAAGTGTATGAAATTTTCACATGGAAAAAATGTTTATGATATGAAAAGGGAACAGGATATGAGATTATAAACAACATGATCACCCATATATAAAATTGTATGCACAGTGGTTAATTCTAAATTGTAGAATTCTGGGTGATTTTGACTTTTGTATGAAGAATAAGATTTATCTCATATGCAGGAATGTTATTTTTTACAACAAGAGCCTATTACCAACCCCTTTTTTACTTTGGCTTAGAGAGGTAAATTGGACAATTATTTGATTGTCTCTATATAACCTACAAAATAAACTAAGTGTATCTTTGTGCTTCTCTTAGGTAACAACCTCTATAGGAGCGGAGTGGGTGAGGTTGACCTCAGAACTGAACACCGAGCGCCTGGATACACTGTTTTCTTGGGTTTCTGTTTTCTTGGGTTTCGTTTGGTTTGGAGAACATTGCTATCCAAATCTGTTTGAACTAGACAGATTAAAATGAGTCTTCCCAAACACTCTGTGACTGGAAAAGCTGGGTTGGAATGCAGTGATTTAAAAAGCAATATCAATCAGAAAACAGCTTATGATGTTTTTTAAAAAGATCTATATAAAACTTAATTCAGGAAAAAAAAATGCTTTTCTCCCATGACTTATATATACGAGGTATGCCTTGAAAAATTTTACAACCATCTTTGTTAATCACTTTCTGAATTACGTTCTTATTGGATTGTTTGTTCTTTTAATCTTTCATTTTATTAGAATGAATTTTTAAATTAAGTAGTAAAAATCAGAACTCATGCAGATTATTATTTAAAAAGTACAGTTTTGATTTTATCACATTTTCAAGTGACCAGTCTACCGTCCTCAGGTCTGTAAGAAAAAAATTTGAAAGAGGTAATGGTTGATTTATATACCAATTGATGTACAGTTAAATAAACTGGAATCCAAAGCTTTTAATAAAAATACCTTAATTTCCTATACTTATTAAAACATTCGTGGATAGGAAAAATTCAGTACATAGAAGAACATAAGTGTTAAATGCTTTTCCTTTTCCACAGATGGAGTCAGTGTGGATTCACAACCGGAGGTGACTACACAGTGTGGACTCGAGACAACAAAACACTGCTTCTGCATCAGTATCCCATCACTGTGACTAACCATCCCGAGTATCTGGGAGAGAACACCCATGACAATACGCCGCCTCTCTGCATGGAATTAACTGCAGGAAAGGGGCCGCGGTGTCATTTAATGGGGACACGGGCAAACTTAGAACGTTTTCAACATTTTGGGAGTCACCGACTCTGCCTCCTCCCCCTCTCCCTCCCCACAACAGGAACACGGGTTTTAGGGGTGTGCAGAATCCCCTCAAGTCCCCGGCACAAGCCCTCTGTGAACCCTGACCTAGTGCAACCAACCAACACAGGTTTATCCAAACATCTCAATTTATTTAGGTCTTTCTATTCATTTAAAAGGCAGTACCCCTTTTAAACAAACTTGGATATTTGACTTCTCATGCTGCATGCGCATCAAACGGTGAGGTTTCCACATCTACTTAATCATTTAACTTGATGCCGAATATTTCGTGGTTTTAACCGAATTTAAAACAGCAGCTGGATCTGGGTGATGAAGGGAAGGGCCCAGGTTCCTGGGCTGCCAACCCCAGCCTGCAGTGGGCAGTGTCTGCCCTCAGGCTCCCCTCTTATCACCAAATCAGCCCTGCGGGAGGAGGGCTTGGCTGGGAGGCTGGGGAGGCTGAGGCCTCAGGGCAGGTGGGACCGGAAGCACCCCGAACGCACCCTAGAGACAGAGTGCCCCCTGCAGTGTTTTGCAGCTCCTAAGCATCAGGGCATGGCTTCCCATTACCTTTTTCACCAGAATACCAGATGTAGATATTTAGAAGTCGCTGAGAGGTGAACCGGCCCTGATTTAGCAGGTTAAGTATGGATCATTTGCCCGCTGACTTAGGATAACAATTGTAAAAGAAAATGGGAAAACAAAGGCACCTAAGTATTCACTCAAAATATGCTTATATAATCAGAATATTATGGAAATAAAATATGGGTAAGCATCTTCATAGGAGTGTCCCAGTTAGTCTACTTAGAAAAGAGCATTGTAAATGTCTTTTATTATTCCTGAAGGTTTTCCATGTAGTACAAAGGCAGTAATCCCCACAGTGAACAAATATGGGATTGTATTTTTCAAGATGAAAGCAATCAAAAGATATGCAAAAGGCAAATACATTTAGTTTCCTAATGATGATCTTACCGTTTGTTCTTTAATAGAATTTTCAATCCCAGCTTGCACCATTAGGTCATTTACATTCTTCTGTAAATCCTCAATGCGATTTCCCATTTCTTCCAGTACAACGTTAAGGAGAACTGTACATGGGGTCCAGAGCACCAGCCAGAAGGCCCTGAAGGCCCTGAAAGACCCTACTTCAAACTGCACCTACTCATCAAGGCGACTGATAAAAATGCCCCAGCAGTGCAACTTTTAAAATGAGGGGGTCAAACACTGCATGTACTAACACCTTCGGATCAGTGCAAATTAACTATTTCCCTGAGGTTTTTGCAGTGTGTCTTTAACCTCTGAGCTGTGAGCTCGGTCCTGAAAACTTGGCTCCCCTTGTGTACATACACACACAGGGACATGAGATGGTCTGGTATGTTTATGTTTTAACCAAACTCTATAATGAGTATGTATATATAATGGAACTTAATTCTGTTTAAAACCAACTTTCCTACAGTTTAATTTTATCATGTTTAAGAATATTTTTTTTCCCTATGGGAACCCATCTACAGAATCAAAATTTGAAGTAAATGGTTCCATATGCAAATACTTTGCATATATTTTCTATGGAATGAATTTAATTGTGTAAAGTAAGCTCTAGCTCGCCAAGTCTTAGGGCAGATGTTACCATTATCTGGCTTTGCTTGAAGTGGAAACAAACTTTCTACTCTAATTCTGTTTGAAATCATGTCTTAACAAAATGGTGAGAGGCTAAAGTTGCAAAACAAAACAAAGGTCGGGAGAGCCATTTATAGTACCCTATGTTGAAGACATTCTGTATTATGTTTGCAAGTTTTGGATTGCTTGGTAGAGTATAAATGTTATTCAGCAGACTACCCAGATTTATTTAGGGCTTGGTGGAAATGCCCCACAGGGTAGTATTGTGCATTGTGTCCTTGTATTTTATCATTGTCATACAAAATGCCCTCTATTGCTGGCCACGGGGGAAGTAAGTACCTGTGAATGGTAATGACTACCTCAGGGTACCATGGAAGGGCACAAATGTAAACACCAGGAAATCCTAGGTCAACAATTATCCACTAGTAGCAGATAAAAAGGTATTCCAGGATAATTTCAAAGTTCAAAAGCATCACAGTATTTGTTATAGGATAGAAAAGGATATTTCTGAGGTTTAATGTTGCAGTCAGAGCTTGAAAATGTCCTTGAAGTTCCTGAAATAGATTTTCTGCCTGAAAAAATAAACCATAGGACAACTGAATGTAATATTTACTTTTTTGGGGTCTCTTGATGTCTCAAATTTAATTAAATTAGATCTATCGCCTTCCTGGGTTTTTTTGTTTGTTTGTTTGTTTTTAATATTTACTCTTGATGTAGGGCATTTTAGCATCATGGAATAGAATCATCCTTATTTAGTTAGTTAGATTTTTGACAAGGTGCCAAGGCTTTTCAATTCAAAGGGTAAGGAAAATCTCTTCAAAATAGTGCTGGAACAATAAGATAGCCAAACACAGGCCTGACCCTTACCTCACACCGTAGGCAAAAATTAACTCAAAATGATCATACACCTAAATGTCAGCACTAAAACTACCAAATGTCCAGGAGGTAACACAGGAGAATGCCTTAAAACTTTGGGTCCCTCCGAGAATTCCTGAGGAGCGCTGACCCAGCATCCAGAGCACCTGCCCGCGGGCATCGTACCTGCCCTCCACCCTCCACTGTGGGCTACTTAGCAGCGGGGGTGGGGATTGCAGATGCTGAGCAACAGACCTTAGAGAAATACCAGTATTGTTACTGATCACAGACCGTATCTCTACGCTGCCTTCCTCGTACCATGTCTACAGCTCCCTGCTCACACCCGTGTATTATCTCCACTGGAGAGATGAGAAAGCAGAGGCGGGGATCAATCCAGAATCTGCTTTTACAGATGAAGAGGCTGCGGCGCCTTCAATCACTGGCGGTTTCCCTCAGAGGGTTTTCTTCTGTTTTTTTAACGGTTGTCAGGAATATGTAGACTCCGGTATATACAACATCTAACAAATTCTTTTCAAGAAGACAGGGCGCCTGGGTGGCTCAGTCGGTTAAGCGACTGCCTTCGGCTCAGGTCATGATCCTGGAGTCCCGGGATCGAGTCCCGCATCGGGCTCCCTGCTCGGCGGGGGGTCTGCTTCTCCCTCTGACCCTCCCGACCCTCCCCCCTCTCATGTGCTCTCTCTCTCAGTCTCTCCCTCTCAAATAAATAAATAAAATCTTAAAAAAAAATCTATATAATATATGGGCGCCTGGGTGGCTCAGTCGGTTGAGCGACTGCCTTCGGCTCAGGTCATGATCCTGGAGTCCCGGGATCGAGTCCCGCATCGGGCTCCCTGCTCGGCGGGGAGTCTGCTTCTCCCTCTGACCCTCCCCCCTCATGCTCTCTCTCTCAAATAAATAAATAAAATCTTTAAAAAAAAAAAAAAAAGAAGACAAACCAACCAGCCTTTCGATGTGGCTTCCTGACTCGCAGCGTCGGCGTCTGATGCGCAAGCCCTTGCGGCAAATAGGGAGCGGGAAGGGGTGGGGGCGCGAAGGGCTTGCGGGGGGCGGGGGGGGCTGCCCGAGTCCCCCAGCCACGCCCACCCATCCCTAGCCACGCCCACCGCCGACCCGCCCTCAGTCCCCGAGGCGGTGCGGGTGCGGAGGGACGCGGAGGAGGGGAGGGAGGGGACCCCACTCACCGCGTCGCGCAGCGCGTCCCCGCCGGGGGCTTTGGGTCCCCGCGCGTCCATGTCGAATGGGTCCCAGTGCGCTGGGTGGTTCCGGGTAGTCCCGTGGGCCCGGTGGGTCCCGTGGGCCCGGGTGGTTCCCGGTGGGCCCGGTGGTTCCCGGTGGGCC